TGTTTCAATTGTCAAGGTCCTAGGGGACATTTTAGGTCACTTGAGGATTCCATAATGTGCCCGAGTCACCGTGAAGGATGACAACAGAATTCACCTAGGTCGAGTGGTAAACAAATCAGCAGAGATATTTTGCTGCAGAGTCCTTTTACTTGGTCCAGGCTCTAAAAGTGTTTTGGTCACTGAAGTTCCTATAAAATAACCTGTCTTCGTGGTTATCACCATTAATTGCTGTGATCTTCAAAGAGCGGTACTATAGGTCATCCTGTGACAATCTTAAGGAGCCTTAAAGTTACTTGTGGTGACAATCTTGATTTCCACGGTCATCACTGTGAGGTGGAAAGGTTGCTATAAAAGACATTTGTACAACCATATTTGGCATAAAACCGTATTTGGGAGTGATACCTAGTAAGATCTATGCAATGAGTGGGATGAAGCTTCGTTTCATGTGTCTTAACTGCGCTGTGTTCCCTGTGACTGGGAGGGCTGCCTCTAGGTGAGTGAAAACCTGTACTTGGTCAGCTCTGATAAATAGTATCTTTGTTCTCTGGTTGTCAGCTTTACTCACATCAGAGAGGAAAGGTCTGTCTCCTTTATAAACAGAAACAAAACCATCATGCAATTATTCTCATTTAGCTATTATTTAGTGTTAATTAGAACTTGGCATGCTGGGAAACTCTCTTCCTGGGGGAGAATTTTATTTTAGACCCTCATAGACACTGTGTAATGTACACAGCATATTTGAAGCAATGATTTATTAAAAGTTACAATATTTTCCCTAGAGAATACATTTGCTCTTCACCATCAGGACTAGGTCCAATATTTATGGAATGTTCACAAAAGATTAATTATGTTTCATTTACAAATAGCCTCTAATGGGAGACATTTTTATTACAAGTGCTATTCTAATGAATTGTCTGTCTTTATGAATTCATGTTTAAGACTGAAATAATTTCTTTTGCTTCCTTTTCTTAACCCTCTATTTGAGCTACTGTTGTTCGTCATGTCTTTCCTATTTCTTCTAACAGATTCATGTGATCATCCCCTCAGTTGCCTAAGCTGGAAACCTTGGACATATTTGGGACTCTCACTCGTCCTTCCATCCCATGTCCAATTCTCACCATATTCAAATGACTCTGTTGCTCATAGAATAAAAGTCAAATCTCCTTAATCTGATAAGCAGGCATATTAAAATCCTGATAGCCTGAGCCACCATAGCATTCTAGCTATCTGTTCTTCACCAAGTGAACTATACTAGTTCTCACCATGTGATGCTCTTCTTTATTTCTCTGCCTGTGACCTTATTCATATTTTCTTTGCCCAGCATGCCCTTCTTTCTCTTTGCCTACTTACTAAGTGAATGCCTGACTGGAAACCAGCTCAAGTGTCACCCAGACTTTTCACTCCCCTCCACCTTGGCAGGATTAGTAACTCATTTATTTTCTTCTAGAACTGAATGTATACTTTATGTTCTTTATGTATATGTACATCTAACTCATGTGTAACAGTAATATTTTAAAGCTTCGGTATGTTTCTAAAATTTTTTGTGTCTTTCATGTATACCATGTTAATTTAGCACATGATAAAGGCTTGGTGAGGGTTGCGTGGTTAAACTGAAAATCCTGTTAAAAGAAGTAGCAGAACGGAGTAATGTCTCAGTGTGTATTCCATGTAAATACTGCTTTGTGGTTGATGATGGAGAAGAAATGGATACAGATAAAGAAGAAAGTCTGATAGTACACCATACACATCCACAACAGAATAAACAGATATAGAGACATAGCAGTTTAAAGCACAAAGGTATATCAGAGGCTACCAACAGTCACAAAAATAATCTACTTTTATTTCATTTGTTCTCTCCTCTCCCTATAGCCTTGGCATTTTCCATGTCATTTGCCTTGAAAAACAGCTCCCACAGTGCCTAAACCATAGTAGACACACAATAAACATGTCTTGTATGAATGAATGGATGGATGGATGGAGAAATGAAATTATTCCAGCTCTTTCATTTCATAGTTCAGAAAAACAGACCAAAGGTACAAAGAATAGGAAAGCAGAAACAAACTCTTTTCAAGCTGCTGCCATGTGCCCTACACTAAACTAGGTGCTTTTGCCTCAGTTATTTAATTTTATTCTATGAAGAAAATTATACGACCATTATGTGAGATGAAGAATTTGAAGCTCACAATCTGTGTGCCCTATGATCACAGAAATCATTTGTAACTCTTGTTCTTATGCTGTGTCTAGTGTAGAGTCTTTTCAATGCCACTAGCTGGCATGATATTGATGGACAGAAATATAACTGATTATTGGTTTGGGGGAGCAGGAATCTCTGCTTTTTATAATCTGTATTGTTTAGGTAGTAGCAGGTGAGTAGATATGGGGAGAGGGGATCTAGTCACAAGATCAATAGAATTGAAGGCTGAAAACCAGTTTAGTTCCTAATCTTGATACTTTAGTTGGGGTGAGTCCTTTATTGTCTTGGAAATGTAGTTTTCTCATTTATAATGCAACACACAATACCAACTTGTGGTGTTCTATGGTGAACAGATGAATACTGCCTATGAAAACACAGTTTGCCCACATAAAAAGAAGGTATTACTATTATGAAGCTTATGTAAGAATAAGAAAGTGTGTATAAAAAGCCTTTCTCAGGGGCGCCTGGGTGGCTCAGTGGGTTAAAGCCTCTGCCTTCGGCTCGGGTTATGATCCCGGGGTCCTGGGATCGAGCCCCGCATCGAGTCCCGCATCGAGCCCCGCATCGAGCCCCGCATCGAGCCCCGCATCGAGCCCCGCATCGAGCCCCGCATCAGGCTCTCTGCTCAGCGGGGAGCCTGCTTCCTCCTTTCTCTCTCTCTGCCTGCCTCTCTGCCTACTGTGATCTCTGTCTGTCAAATAAATAGATAGAATCTTTAAAAAAAAAAAAAAAGCCTTTCTCAGCTGCACATTCGCGCTCTTTTGTTCCCTTTGTTACCGCTTTGTAATTTCACAACATCCTAGCCTTCATTTGTGTAAACAGATGAGAACAGGATAAATAAGCATTTCTCCACTAATGTGATTTGTATACAATATATCAGCTTAAATGAGCTTCTGCTTCTGATTTGTTTGAATTCACAATTCAACATAATTTGGTAATAGAGAAATAATGTTGAAAAGACATCTGTTTCTTATCATAAGCTTCTATTTTCATAAGAAAATCAAAGCAGTCCAAGAACAGGAAAATTATGAAAACTAACATTAATGCACCGTATTAACTCTCTGATGAGAAAAAAAAGCCACGGACAGTTTGTTTTGTTAATTATTGAAAATCCGACTTTTCAAATGTTCTGCCTTAGTGGCAGTTCTATGCATACATTTAAAAATGAACCTGATCAAAAAAGAACTCGCATTTTTCAGTTTTATTAATATTATCCTTTACCTCAAACAAGGTACAGAAAATATCACTTGCTTTTGGTTGGTGACTTCATTTCTAACCTTTAACATCAATACTACCTTATGGTCATTTATTAAATTAGTTAAGACCTGCACCTTTCCATTTTTATATAAATTTTAAGTTAAAATTAAATAAATCCACACAGTCAAAATAATAAGAGTAAATAAGACATATTTTCAATATATCCTTTAGGATCTCTGATGGTCATACATTAGAGATCTCTCTGTGGTGTTAGGAATGAATAGGACCTTGAAATTCATCTAATTCTGACCCTTTTCTTTCATAGTTTGGGAAATGAGGCTGTGAATGGCTGAAAAAAGGAGATATGCCAGTTCTTAGAGAACAAAGACAAAAAAAAACTCCAAGCTAGCTTTTGAGTACTCTTCTTACTGTACTAGATCAGAATATAATTAATTTTGACAAGTATAACTCAATTCTCATTTACCCAAATAATATCAGGGAAAACCTTGCTCAACACTTACATTAGCTCTTTGGATGTAGACACTGATGGAATGAAGATATGTATCTGGGAGAAGATGAAATAAATTGGATGATAGGAGACCTCAATTGCTTGGAATAATTGGCTAAGTCTAACAAAAGGGAATTTAACAGAGAGAGAAATAAAAAATCTGCACTTAACAATATAAAAACCTATGGCAAAAGTTCAACAAGTGGGACATAAGGCTTAGCAGCACGACATTTTTTTTTTTCAAAAGTGGCTATTTTTAAAGAACTAAAAGTTCTATGAGTTTACTTTTGTCTTCTTCCCAAAAGGAACTGAATTTTACTTAACATGATAGAAGTTTACATAGAACGATAAAGGTACTCTATACCATCTACTTATCCACGTATAATTGAAATTATGGGTGTGAACACTGATAAACTGGGGCATGTAGAAGGGAAAGAACAGAATGTTAAGTTGACTGAGACCCAAGTATATTAGGAAAAGTTAAAGGTAGTTAGGTATGTGTCTCTGGAGAATGGAAGGTCTGCATCTGCTGTTTTAGAGAAATAGGGGTGAAATGAATAGGTAGTTTGCAACTAAAAAGGCTGAATGATCGGGTGGAAAGAATTCAAGATATAACATTAGAAAGCATAAGTCTGAATTTTGGTGCCATCATTTATAAGTGGTGTGACCTAGGGAAAATCTCTAAGAAAATGCACATCAGGTTCTTGATCTGTAAGATGAGAGTAGCAATACCTATAATGCAGGATGGTTATGAAAATTAAGTTAAATTAAACAACATCGGAAAAATACCTACAGTACACAGCATGCAGTACTCAAAAGATATTGACCTTTCCATTGCTTTGTCAGTAAAGTCATGAGAGATTTTTATTAGATTTTATTAGCGGAGTATCTTGTATAAGGGTTAAGTGGAGATAGGAAGGTTAAATGTACAAGATCCCTGCCAATGCTGTGTGACATATTTATATGTTGATCACCAGCATTTTGTTGTACTTTATACCAGGAAAGATGGTTCTTTAAAATATTTGATTCCTTATCAGTTATACTGCCTTTTAAAGTCATGACAAGTTTCCATTACTATATCTCGCTAAATTGCTTACTTACCTATAAAGTGCAGAGAGGGGCCTCTTGTTTCCAGGTTTTGGTCTATATGGTTTGGGTTCGCCTGCCATATTGATATCTGAAAGCAAAAAATAATATATACCACTGATTAGGAAAAATGAATCCATTTGAGAAAGCAAATCATGAGGTTTTCTTTTTCCTTTTGCCATTTGCCTCTATGAATGTTATATGCCATTATTTATTCAATGGTTTTTTTCTCCAGCCTATGCTAGCCCAGCCACTGCTTGAGCTATGTCATGTACCAATCTGGTTAGCTCCATGCCCTCATAAAACTTACTTTTACTGGGGAAGAAATAGATAGTAAATAACAAACAATATAAATAATAAAAATATGTAACATATTAGAAAGTGATAAGAACTATGAAAAAAAGACAATGTTCAATGAGGTAGGGAAATGAAGAATGTTTAGTAAAAAAGAGAGAGAGAGAAAGAGATATCCTTCTAAATTGGATTTTTGCCAGAAATAACTTGCATGGAATAGAGCTTTGTTCATAAGAGGAATTATTAATGTTCCTTGACAATATCTTTCCACCTATGTAGAAAAGAAATGTAGAAGGCTTGAATTGTAGAGCATACCAAGTTTACTGAGGGAATAACAAACACAATGCACTCAGCAGCTAGAATGTGTAGTTATAGTTCTGGGGTGGTCAGAAGAAGAGAGCACATCCTTGGCCTTCTGAACTAAAACTGTGATAAAATCTCTAAGATAAGACGATAAAATACTTAAATACATAACAAGAGTATTAACATACAGTTGACCAACTTCTGTCTTAAAGATGATTGTAAAACTGTAAGGGGGTTAGAAAGTTGGGTGACAAAGATTTGGAAATTACACAAAAAACAAGATTTAATAAAGTTAAAATTTCTAAAACATGATAAGAAGGAAAATCTAAAAAAGGGCAAACTTCAAGAAAAGCTTTGAAAGAAGTGAGGGACATTATTTTGACAGAAAAGAAAAGAAATGCTTCTCTTCCTTACAGTGGACTAAATACACTGGATTAGGGATGGGTGAGCCAACCAGCAGTGAAAACAACCAAATTTCTACATAAAATACAGCGACGCTTGAACACTGGTGTGAACTGCACTGTCCATTTATATGCAGATTTTTTTCAGTAAATACAGTACAGTGCTGTAGTAATGTAGTTTATGATTTTCTTGACATTTTCTTTTCTCTAGTAGCTTACTTCTATTATAAGAACACAGTATATAATACAGGTAACATACAAAATATGTTTACTGTTTATGTTATTGGTATGATTTCCAGTCAACAGTAGGCTATTAGTAACTGAGTTTGGGGGGAGTCAAACATTATATGTGAATTTTTAAAAGAGATTTATTTATTTATTTGAGAAAGAGAGAGAGAGAGAGAGTTGGGGAGGGGCAGAAGAAGAGGGAGAAAGCATCCCAAGCAGACTCCCTGCTGAGTGCAGAGCCCCACCCGGGAAATGGATCTCAGGACCCTGAGATCTTGCCCTGAGCCAAATCAAGAGTTGGCTGCCCAACTGACTTAGCCACACAGGCACCCCCTATACATGAATTTTTGACTGCACAAGGGGTCAGTGCCTCTAACTCTCATGTTGCTTAAGGATCAACTGGAGAATGTATCTCTTTTTAAAAAATACAACATTGAGCTAGTAAGAAAGTAAGGCATTCACAGAAGCCAACACCTGAGTGAAAGCAGAAACTTAGATGGAAGTGGAAGACTGACTCTACCTTATACCTTGAAGACATTTATTCAAATCAGAACTTGAGCTTTAGCTTTCATGTCCTTGTGAGCTATAGTGGGCAGGAGACAGTGCCCACAAAAAGAATATGAGCCATATAATCACTAAATTCAACATCCATGTGCATTAAAATCCTCAATTAGGAAGAGATGGAAACTTCCTCCTTCTGACTGATAAAGAATATCTAGAAACTAAACAAAACAAAACAAAAAACTCCAGAAAACATCATACATAATAGTGAAACATTGGTCACATTTTCTTTAATATCAAGGAATTTATTTTATTTTATTTTACTTATTTGAAAGTTTATTTATTTATTTATTTATTTTTAAGTAATCTCTACATCCAACATGGGGCTTGAACTCATGACACTGAGATCAAGAGTTGCATGCTTTTCCAACAGAGCCAGCCCCTGGTATCAAGGAATTTAAAAGGGCACTCCCCATTAACAATTCTGTATAGTGCTGTATTGGATTTCATAGTCAGTGAAGGAAGACAGGAAAATAGTGTCAGAAATGGGAAGGAAGAAATGAAACTGTTGATAATAATTGTTGATAATAATAGATCCACATAAACACTCCAAAGCATCCACAAATTAGTATAATTAATAAAAGAGTTTAATAGATTTGTTGGATTCAAAGCCAATATACAAAATTCAACTCCATATGCCTACATAGTGATAAAAACATAATTCTGAAAGATAAAATTTATATAGTATAAAAGTAAAGTACCCAAGAATAAATACATTATAAAATTTTAAAGATGTTTAAAAAGAAAATTATAAAATTATCTTGGAAGATTTTACAGTTACCTTACATAAATAGAGAAATTGGAAACCTTGATATAACGAACATTTTAATTCTTCCAAAGTTGATTTATTGATTCTATATAATTTCAATAAAATTACCAAACATTCTTTTTATGTCTCTGCAGAGTGGGATAAGCTGATTCTGAAATTTATATCATAGAACAAAAGGTCAAAATAACCCTTGGGGAAAAAACCAAAGGTGGCAAAAGTTGCTTTATCAAGATTTATTTTAAATTGCAGTAATTAAGACTATAGTATTGGTACAGATAGAAAATGAACCGCTGCAACATAGTAGAGGACCTCCAAACTGACACACAGATGTGGATGTCTGAATTAGAACAGAGATGGCATAGCTGATCAGTGAGTAAGGATAGGCTTCTGAAGCTGTAATAATTGGTTACCAGTTACTGCAAGGACAAATATGAAATTATCTTACACTATACGGAAGAATTATTATGGGATTAAGAACCTAAATGTGAGAAGCAAAAATACATAAATATCAGGTGGAATGTAGTAGAATATCTTTATGACATCAGAGTATGGAAGTATAGTCTTAAGCCAGACATAAAAAGCACTAGCCTTAAAATATGAGATTGATGAATTCTACTACATTGCAATAAAATAAAGAATTTCTGCTCATCAAAAGTTGCATAAAGACAATGAAAAGAAGGCCACAAACTAGATGAAGAAATCCATGAAAAAAGTTTTGTTTCTGGAATATATAAAGAACTCATTTACCTAATAAGAAAAAGAGACAAACCACCAAATATAAAATTTGGCAAAAAATGCAGGAGAGGCACTTTACAGAAAGTTGAGTGCTGAATAAAGATATGAAAAGACTCTCAACCTCACTAGTAATGGAGAATTCAATTTTAGTAAATGTGCTGCTGAAGTGAGCACAGTAATGGAGAATGCAAATTAAAACACTATGGGATAGCATTGATACCCACTGAATTTACAACTTACAAAGTCTGCTAATATCAAGAGTTGGTTAAGTTTGGAAGCAACTGGAATATGTGTACATTGCAACTACACTGCAAGTATAAGCATAAATTCATACAATTACTTTGGAAGATAATTTAGCAGTTTATAGCGAACTTAAAATACCCAGGAGGTAGGCACCTGAAGAAACTCTTGCATAGCTGTACCATAAGATATATACAAGAATGTTCACTGTAGTACACCAAGATAGAAAAAGTTCCTAGAAAAACACATATATCCATTGATAGTTATCCATTGGTAGGATAAATGAATTGTGATATATTACAAAATGACACACTATGCAACAGGGGAGAGTGAGAGAGAGAGAGACAGAGAGAGAGACTTAGAGCCATAGGGCAACAACACCGAATCTCAGGAACATGTAACACTGACCAAAAAATGATGTCAGGGAACGACAAAAGGAATGAATCTTTTTATGTTAATAAAAATACAAATTTAAACAAATGTTACATAGGAATCAAATATTTGTAATAAGATAAAAGAAGAGCAAGCAGAGGCAAACAATAAATTTAGAATGAAGGTTACCTTTAAAGGGCAGAAAAGAATGTGGAACTTGGGTAGGACATCTCGGAGACTTGAACAGTAATTATAATGTACTATTAAGCGTGCATATGTAGTGGGAGCACGAGTTTTTAACAAAGCATCATTCTTTATAACTCTAATGGAGTATAAATTTTATTTTGTATATATTTAATAACTAATAAAGAATTAGAAAAGAAAATGAGAGCAATGATGGTAAATTGTGAATTGGTAAATATTCAGGTCAAGGGTAGTGAGTTTTTGTGAACAAGTGGTTTCAGCAAAGATTGTGAACAAGGAAATAGCAGGAAAGGAGAGCAGTTGGGTAGTTGGGTGGATTATTGGATATGAGTAGATTAGTAGAGACCCCAATTAGAACTTTGCATCTAATCTGCCTGGGATACAATTTTGGGTTCTGAGTAGAGGACAGTTGTGAGAATGTATCATGAAGACAGTGACTCTTGTATGATTTGGATTAAGGCACAACCAAAAATCAAGGCTGTCTGAATCTTTCAGATGTGACACAGTTGGAACAAAAAAGTGAGTGAAACAAAAGCACATTTCTATTATTTTTATAAGCTTTGTAATTATGTTAGAGGACACATGTCCATGAAACATAATAAGACACAATGTGTGTGTCTTTAGCTCAGATTCCATGAGTCTCCATTATGAATTAAAAATGTAAAACTATTCTCATAAATAAATAAAAAGCTTAAGACTCAAATATTATAACATCTTTTTAAAAAATAATATGGTGCTAGTAGTTCTGAGGATAAGCTTAGGAGTTTGACAGCATACACATACAATGGAAAGCCTTTCATGAAAGGCTGTTAAACTTGGGATTTGCAGACATGGGATTCTGTTCAAAAGTTTTTTAAAAATGGAGAAGAAAATCTTCTGTTTCTTACAGATATAAAATAGTGTTCAAATGCATAATTTTCCTTTGAATTTACTAAAGGAAATACTTATATTTTATATATTTCACATTGCTATAGTGGAGATCAT